TTGAACTTAATAAGTAAATAATTTTATTTTATTGTGTCTTCTGAAAAATCTTTCAAACAATTTCTCAGCTCTTTCATCTGCCTTTTATTTTTATCTATAACAAAATTCCTTTTGTAAATAATAAATGTGAAGCATGACTCTAAAAAATAAGGTTAATTTCCATCCAGAGCCCATAAGCCCATAAACTTAGTTCCAACACTTTAAAGCAATATCATGGTTTATTGAGGACCATAAGTATCTGTAACATTTAAAAATTCATAGTATTAGCCAGTTTTATCTGTAGTTAGCAGGATATTGAATATATATTTTTCAATCATAAAATATTATTAAGCGCTCACTCTATACCAAACACTCTTCCAGGGTTTCACTCTTCTGAGATTTAATTAGGAAATAATATTTGTTTTCTAGGCATTCACAGATAGTGCATACATAAGTAATATATTGTATGCTGCACTGCTGGAGGGCAATGACACAAACACAAGAAAAAAAGAAGGGCTGGGGATTTAGCTCAGTGGTTCCACAGGCTGCCTCACAAGCTCAAGGTCCTGAGTTTGAACCCTGGTACCAAAAAAAAGAAAACAAGAAGAGCTAAGACAATTATTGAGTGCTTCACAAGAGATGAGATTTGAAGAGCAGATATTATCTGGGTAAACTGAGAAGCCAATATTCAAAGTGAGCAGAGCACATATATTGTGGCATACTAGAATTAAACAAAAGAGTTTGAATCCAGGCTAAGAGGTACTATCATCTGCAGTAAAGAAATCTACTTCAAATACTGTTGCTACAAGTCAGACACATATGTGGATGCAGATGGAGGAATACAAGGAGACAAGAGAAAGGAAATCTATAAGATTTGGTGACTCATTTAGATAAGAGGTTGATTACTCATCATAGATCAAAGGGGAATACTTGTTTTAACTTTAGGTGTCTGTGGGAAACACAGATTTCAGAGTCACTCTCTGAGAGGTTCTTCATGTTTGTTAAATGACCAGCTAGAATACATAAATAGTGAAGTCATCAGAATATTTTCAGGCCATAATATCACACTCGATATTTTAGAAAATCAGATCTGTAACCTCGGTCTTATTAGGGTTTATTGAGCTAATTGGCATCAGATACACTTTTACTCTCATAATTTATTAATTGCCCCACATATTTCCAAGATTAATTAAAAATCTCTTTTAGTGAAGATTTTGATTAATTATAGACTTTCCCCAAGCCTTACCTTTCCCCAGACAACATCATTGGTGTCAGGCCATTTAATGAACACATTGTCTTCCTGTCCTCTAGTGAATGTGAGATAATGTGTTTCATTTCCAGAAATGGCTGGGTCCTAGAGTGAAAGGGTTTTAAACAGAGAACACGATAGGGTTTAAAACATCTCCAAGGATGGGCCAGGGATTTAGCTCAGTAATGCTGCTGCCTGCCTCACAAGCTCAAGGTCCTGAGTTCAATCCCCAGTACCAAAAAAAAAAAAAAACCATCTCCACGGATATTCTTCTCAAGAAACTTGATAATTCATAGTACAGAAATGAATAAATAAATAAATAAATGCCCTTGGATAATTTGACTTATACCTACTGGGTATATTACCATAACCAATTGAAAAGGAAAATTGTCATTGGTATTCAAAATAAGATACTTAAGCATTATGAAGCACAATCTTTTTCAAAGGCATTAAGATTCTGACAATAAATAAAGGAGTCTTTCTAAATTATAGAAAGTACCCACCTAGAGCTTAAGTAATGAAATGGAAAAACTCCTGTGGCAAGTGAAATATGACATGATATGAATGATTCTTCCAATAACATAGAAATCAATTTAAAATGAGAGAGAGTGGGTGGCAAAAGAATATATTGATGTTTCTCCATAAAATTCTTGAGAAAAAATTGCTAATGTTTGAAAACAATCCCTAGAGCTAAACGAGTTTAATAACATTGCCTTCAAGCAGAGAGAGCAAATTTATTGCATTTCCAGAGAAAAATAGTAACAGTCCTTAAGAAAATGTACCTTGTTCATTTTATTTTTAGTCCAAATTGCTCATTTAAAAGGGCCTATTTGATTCACCCCATCTCATACCTGCCCTAATTTCCCTCTATAATATTTTGCTACTTCACTATTGTCATATAAATCACTATCTGAAATTATCTTTTTAATATCTATTTATCAGCTGTTTTGATCCACTAGAATAAATGTCTTCTCAGAAAAGAAGACATTGGCTTACTCACTAATTTAGACTATACACAAACACACACACACACACACACACACTTTCTGGGACAGAGATTCTCAAATGGCCAATATTAGTAAATCTTTGAATTAATGAACAAACAAAAGTCATGCTCTAATTTTGGAAGTTAGAAGAGGCCAAATATTTGACAGTAACTACTTCCATATTTACTAAGATATAGATTTTAATACAAAATAATAAGTTGGTATTCTGGATCTTAAGTCAGTTGTTTGTAAGCATAGTAAATGAGAAATAAGTCCTCTGGAGCTCACCACTGCTGAGTGATGATATAACCTAAGAGATTTTGAACCTCTTGAGGAAAGATGAGAGTAAAGATGTAGTTCTTTCTAAAGCATAATTTGCATCAGTGAGACACTTCAGTGTTTCTGCTCACAATTCTTTTCACTCTACTAAAAGTATTAGTGAATTACATTCCTGTAACACTCAGCTATGAAAAGTAAACACAGTATTAGAAAGCATTGTCTCTTAAAAGCCATTTTCACTTGTTCTTTATTTGCTTTTTTCCAACTTACAAAATAACTACAGATGCACAAGAAGTTCCCAGAAATGTACAGGACACTTCCTTGTACCTTTCATCTAGTTTCTTTCTGTGTTATTTTTTTTCGAATGATGAATAGAGAAATTGAAAAAGGCATCTAATCGGCCTCAATACCTACCAGAATGAGAATAAATCTTGTGCCATTTTTCTTCATTTGCTCAATCAGGATACCAAGGTTTTGAAAGCTGGGGCTGAGGGTGAAGTCCAGCTTCCGGTCCATGTAATCGATGTCTACATGTTGCACATCCTACAGGAAGGAGCAAGCAAGATCCCCAGGATCCTGCAGCAACACCTAAAGGGCATACTAACTGCTCTGCCAGACTCCAGACCCTGCTGTGTACCCAGGGCCCAGGGCTCTTAATTTCTCATTTCACTAGTCCCCTACACCAACCTTTTGATAATGCTGATTAGAACTCCTTTCTGATTCCTGCTCCCAGCTCACTGTCTCGATTCTTCTTTCTGTTTGCCCACTGGGAACTCTCCCCTTTTCTTCCCTTAATTCATGACTTTCTTACTCTTCAAATTTCAAACTCAGTGAGCCTATAAAACTACCAGTTAATTAAGCATAGAAATTGAGACTTTTTAAAGAAACAAACAAGATTGTATATATCTAGATTTTTCCTTACAGTACCTCACTAAATGTATTCATTTCAGAACTATATTATTCTATAACTTTCCAGAATATATATAAAAAAATCTCTGCACAGTACCAAACCAGGTTTCTGCACATGAAATTCACTCAATCCACGTTTGCTGAATGATAGAGAATGGAATTAATATTAGGGTGAAAAAAGAAAAAAACACTTCTGAAAAAACAAAAAAACGTTTCAAGACCTGGAAGGAAGCTCCCCACCTCCATCCCAGGCTCCTAGGGCAGAGAAGCTCAGTGGATCCCAGCACCCGGAAGGAAGCTTCCTGCCACCATCCCAACCTCCTAGGGCAGAGAAGGTGAGCCACGTGGGTGCCAGAAGCACCCCCCCCACACACACACACTGTGGAAATGAGAAGCCACATAAACAAGCCTCAAAAACAGACTTCCAGATCATGTATAGCAACCTCAAAGGGAAATGAGATGGAACAATCTGATACTCAACCACCTGGACTCTCTAAACTGGCAACAAAAGAGGATCTGGGAAAAATGAAATCAGAAATAATTTCTAAGATAACAGCAG